CCCGCCGAGCCGCACCAGTAGCCGCAGCCGCCAATTGCTGATGCCTAAGCCTCCAATGTCGCCTTAACCAGTGTTCCCCGCCCCCCAACAATCGCCACCACCGCCGCCGCCGGCGCGCTCTCGCGCCGTGCCGCGCACCCGACCCCGCCCCCTACCGCGCGCCCATCCGGCCTGGCAGCAGATAGGCCACTAGCACTGCGGACCTGCTAGAGGTCTCCGCCCCCTCGCCGGCCTATCGCGCGACTCCCACTCTGGGAGAAGGAAGTCACCTGAATACGGAAAACTAGAAAGCCCTACTACCTTTCGGGAGTTGTAGTTTGGACTTTTACTTCCTCTGCTACTCCTTCTAAGCTAGACCGGTATAAGGCCGATAGCCCTAATTGGATGAGGGAACCCACCACCGGCCAATCGAAAAAGACTCCCTTCCTCTTTGGGCGGGGTTCACGTCGAGGAAGCGGCGCAGTAGAACCGAGGTTCTGGGTTCGGTGATGGGCGGTGGTACCGTATCACTCTTGACAGCTGGCTTTAGAGGCAGCATCAGGGCACAGCAGAATTATCTGGACGCCACCCACATCCTCATCCTCCCACTTCACCCTTAATGGCGGTGTATCCAAAGGGCGGGGACCGGACCTAGCTTCCAGCTAGGTTGAGGCAGAGGGGAGGGAGACAAGCTACACGACCAGACGCGATCTGAGCTCGCGGTCGCTACAGACCCACCCTTGCGGGGCGGGGCCCGCGCCTCTGTGGCTGCTTCTGTTTGTCCCACTAACCGGCCTCCGCAGCTGCTCTCGGGAAGACAGTATGTATGCTCATCCGAGATCTCAGCTAAGTATGATGGGCGGGGCCTATCCCCTGCTGAAGTTGTGAGAGGGGGGAAGCCTGTTGTGAGTTCGCGCCACTCAGCTATGTGACCTCTGTATCCTGATGCAATATATGAAAACAGGATGGATCCAGCTACCCAATTTGGGGAGGAAGTGACACTGCCTAAAGAACAGTTTTCGGTCTTGCTCCCTCCCCAGCAAGCCTACATTCCCTTGAGATGGGCCAAGTGGCCTCTTGGGGTCCAGAGTGGAGGCCATGACTGGAGACTCTGAACCATGTTTACTTATGGCTCCGCTGAGGGACAGGGTAGACGGGGAGATGGGAGAGGCTGTGGTGACCGCCTCCCCTCCCCTAGCTGTATGCCCGGGGCACAGAGCCCACAGGGCATAGCATGCCTAGATGTATGTGAGTTGACAAAGGCATTGTCAGCGGCTTGGGTGCAGATGCCCCAAGAAGTACTATCTCACAGGGCCTATAGCACATTCCACACTGCCCACCAAAGCCCCTTGGAGAAAGGAGCAAAGGAGAGCCCCTTGCAGTATCTGGACTGGTATCTGTGCTACCAGGAAGCCCTAAAGAGAGCCCAATTAAGCCTCAGATCAGGCGAACAGGGAATGTCCAGAGCATGTGAGACATTCATCTTGGATTGCATCATACCTACCAGTGCTGTGCCTGTATCTGTGGGACCTAGGGATTCAAAGATAAATTAATCTTCCTTCAGGGTTGTGGGAGAGGAGTCCAGCAAATCTTTAATATTGTGCAAAGACGCTAGAGTTGTGCCAGCAGTTCAGAGAAAGTTCATAACCCCCCTGGCTACAAGGACTCAACAGGGGTGAGCAGGAACTGGAGGGAAGGACAATAGAGGAAGGTTTGTTCCAGGCAGAGAACAGATTTCCAAAGACCTGGAAACCAGAAAGGACCTATAGTGGGCAAAGGTGAAGCTGATTGAGTGGGCAGAGTGCTACAGGCCACTGCAAGGTGTCTGGACTTTATCCTGAGGGCAGTGGAGAGTCAAAGAAGGGTTTAGAGCACAGGATTTACATGATCAAAATTCTGGATGGATCACTGGATTTGACTACAGTTGGGGAAGGTGGGTGAAGTTAGAGGGAGGAGAAATGAGGAGCAAATATTAGGTAGAGCGAACATCCTTCCCAATAAACTGTCCTGCCTTCAGAGGATCTCCAAACTTGAGGGTCTGAGAGTGGAACTTAAAGCCCAGTGGCATATCACCTCTGGCCACCCACTAGTAAATACCACATGGAACACAATCCTGGTACTATATATAGCATAAGGTCCCACATACTTGACCAGCTCACCTTCCCCTCCCCATAAAACTTAAAGCAACTTTAGGATGTTTCCCTCTTCACTCTTCCAGTTGTCACATAGATTGAGAAAATGATCAGTTCCTCTTCCCTCCAGACATGACTTTCCCTGAACCCTGCAAGGACTCAACCCATAAGGCTAGAGAGGAGGCAGGAGGGTGACCATGGGTCTGTCAGCCCCACAGCTGGGAAAGAACCAGCAGAGAAGATACAGATGGCTTTAAAAACTCACCCGCTCATCAAATCCTCAGCTATGCATCTGTTCCCAGCCACAGAGCACCTTGGAGAACACTTAAGAGGTCATGTTGTGGGGAAAGTTTTGCTTCCAGGGTAAACTGAGAATCTATCATTGAATGATGAGGGCTGAGGCAGGGTAGCACCAACAGCAAAAAAAAAGTCACATCTTTGTATATTTACCTGGCAGGGAAGATAACATAATCACAAAGGTGGCTTTCCCAGGGCAAGGCTTATCCATTGCACTCCAGATGTGCTGACGCCTGTGATTTTCCCAAATTGGGAAACTCAACTGCATAATTTGTGGTAGTGGGGGACTGCATTCGCACTTTCTCCTATTTATGTTATTTAATGTGTATATTTTGCATGGAAAATATATTTCATTATCCTTGTGCTTGGACATAAAAATTAACTCGTAATAAAATTTGTCATTTGTTTCAATATAAAAGTCACAAAAGCCATCTTTTGTAAGAAAGATGGCAATATCTGGAAGCTCTGCAGGCTATGAAGGGGCCAGTTCACCATTGAATACATATACATATATGTATACATATACTGGAAGGTATACATACCAATAAAATCAAACAAGAGCTTGGGGTGGGAGAGACGTGTGGCATGAAGAGGAACTTTTCTAAATTCATACCAATACACATACTCTTTCCACATCTTTTCCCCAGCTACCACCAGCACTTCCCCTTCTAAGTTCTTCCTTAGGCCAGTTCCAAAGCTGCTACAAGTTATTTGGGCCTGCCTGTAGCCCTCTGAGAGCCCTGTGAAACCAAGAGGCCCAAAGGAACACTGCAATAGCTAGAACCCTGGGGTGGACAAGAACTGCATCTGTCTCTGTACACTCCCACCCCTCTGAGTACCAACTAGATCTAAGAATTAGGGGAAGCCATCTTTTCCATCAGCTGCCATAGGTCTGGCCCTAAGCCCCCACTGTTAAAAGCTATGCTATGCCCTCTGAGCCATGAAATGGTACAGCTTAGCCCAGTGTACCCTAGTCCCTTCTTCCACATTAGGAAAAACAAAAGCCTTGGAGAAAAGTCAGGATTTAGAAAAGTTCCTCTTCATGCCACACATCTCCACTACCCCAAGCTCTGCTCCTTCCCTATCTCCATGCCCAAGTGGCCACCAGACCCAAGTACTGCCCTTGAGCAGCTCCAAACCTGATTAGAGAGGATAAGACCAGCCAACTACCATCTCAGAAAGTTAGTTGCCAAGTCAGCACTAACTGACTCAGGGTGCTGAGCTGAGAAGACAGAGTCAGCACTTTGTCCTCATATGCCAGGCTGAGGAATTGGGACTTAGTCCAGAGAGCAGTCTCAAGAGAGGCATGGAAGAGTTCTGAGCAGAAGTAATACAAAAGGATCTAAATGTGTAGGACTGTGGATATAAGAGATTCTTGGCACACAGTCCAGGCTTCTTCTTATGGCTTTGGAAGATCATCCCTCCCTCTCATGCTCATATCAAAACCAGTTGTCCCCAAATGTGATGAGCTAAGGGGAAGTCCTCAATCAAGCTGGCTGGAATGGATGAACAAGTATTGTGGCTATTAGCCCAGAGAGGGGTTTGGGATCTAGGTGACTTAGTTTAAAGCTGGCTAGGATCACACCTATAATCTTAGCACTCTCAGAGGCCAAGGCAGGTGAATCTCTTGAGCTCAGTTTGAGACCAGTCTGAGCAAGAGAGAGACCCCATCTCTACTAAAAATAGAAGAACTAGCCAGACACTGTGGCAGGTGCCTGGAGTCCCAGCAACTTGAGAGGCTGAGTCAGGAAGATCCCTTGAATTCACGAGTTTGAGGTTGCTGTGAGCTATGATGATCCCATGGCACTTTATCCAGGGTGACTGAGTAAGACTCTATCTGAAAATAAAATACAATAAAGTAGACATGCTAAGAAGAACAGTGGGCAGAGTTTTCAGGTTTCAATGCACCCTCCCAGCTGGTCCCAGGCCATGGGCAGGTCACTTTGAGACCACGGAGATGTGCTAAACTGAGATCATTTGAGGACTAATATATTCAAACAAGATCTTTGCCAAATATACTCAGTCATGGAACACATACCAGTTCCACCCTATTGCCTCACCTGCAAAGGACCATCTTTCCAGTGCTTCCTGGGGTCCTCAGATTCCCCACACTTCAGCTTCCTTATTAACAGAAGACCTCAATCCCTGCTTCTCCTTTCCCTCACCCCAGAAATGAACCTGACCCTGCCAGAGAAGGGATTCTCCAGGGAAACCAGGAGAAATGGCCTAAGATCAGAGGGAGGTAAATCTTAGGACCACTGCCTGAGAGATCCACTAGGGTCTGTCTTCCCAGTTCCAAGTGGAGAATGAGGAAAGGCAAAGGGGGCATTTTGATATATGGTTTTAGTAAGAAAAAAATCAGAAATATGTTGTACCTAAAACTTGGTGACTGACACTGGACCAAGCCTCAGTTTTTGTCCTGGATGGAGCCCCTTCTGAAAAGTTAGTTAGAGCAGCCTAGCATGGAGTGACCCCATTAGCTATTTAGTACCTATCGCAAGGCCACTCTATTGTCCTCAGCCCGCCTCATATAAGCCAAGGACAGCTGATCTTGCTCTCAGAAGAAGGCTGTTGGGCCAGAGAGGACTAAGAGTTGCCCCAAAGTCAAACAGCAATAGGCTCTGGGAGGCAGCTGGCAGGGTAATATCCTTATCTGTACACAGAAGAGTAAGGGCGGGTAGCAGGGAGGGGCTTGATTCAGAGGCCAGCCCGTCCAGGGGCTGCTGGCTGGCACCTAAGCCTGATCCCATGCCAGGTGACCATAAAGCAGTGAGACTGACCCAGGGGAGATGTGAGAAAAGGGCTTTGGCCCACAGGGGAATCCCTTCCACCCTCAAAGAGCCCGGGAGAAACAGCATGTTTACAGCTGAGGAAGCGGGGGCAGGGTAGGCAGGGACCTTTGGTCAGAACGCCCCTCCCAGTAAGCGGGGGAGGCCCCATAAAATGTGGTAGCCGTTTGTTTGCTTCTCACTGCCAGGAGGAAATTAAAGAGAATCTGCCACTTCCTTCCGCCCCAAATGGGATGGAGAAGGTGGGGGTGGCGGCTGGAGGGCTGTGTAGTGTGACCTGGCAATTGTTAAAGGTGCCAAATTGCTGTCATCAGCAGCCTACAGTCCCCCCTCAACCCCTATCCAGGACAAATACCTCATCAGGTCAGGTCTGAGCTCCAGCTGTCAGGCTTGAAGGAGACTCTGGGAGTCAGGCCAACACTCCCAGGTGTCCCTTACTGGAATACCACATACTCAAGTCCTTTCTTGATTCTATACTCCCTCTTATCAGGAAAGTCAACTTTTGTCCAGCACCTCAGGTTTATCACCAAAAGAATAGGCTTCTTGGACCTTCCTGGCTCAGTTCAAGTCCAGTGAACCTGA